CGCCCCACGCTCCCCTTGCCGCCGCCTCCTCGCCCTCCTCCTTCCTAGCCTTCGTCCACTCTTCTCTCAGCGGGCGCTCCACGGCCCTGCTCGTGGCTCGCCTGAGTGCTGGGCTCTGTAGACGCAGGGATGGGCCAGGGGAGCCCCTGACCCCGGAGGTAGCAGGTTCAGAGGAGGCAGCAGAGGCTTCCTGGAGGAGGTGACAGGCCGATGAAAGGCTGAGGGATGTCTAGGAGTGAGCCTGGGCGGGAGGGGAAATGATGTTCCGGTGTGAATAGGCCTGTGCAGTGTGCGCGTGGGGCAGGGGAGGGAGGGATAGGGGTGGGGTACCAAGATGTGGATGAGCAGGGAGAAACTGGGGGCGCAGGGCTGGACCCCTGCACCGGTCATGGGCTCCGGCTGGGATATTATAAATCCCTGTGGCTGGTTTGGTTTCCGTGCCCATGTGCATCTGTGCATGTTCCACGCTCATGTGATCATGGGCGGGGACGTGAGGCAGGTGGCTTGGGCCTGGTGCACAGACTATATTCATCGTCGTTAAGTACGCTCCAGGCGCCTAAGCAGAGGGGCAATCAGGGGGGCCCGCAGGGACGACAAGGAATCCTCGCTATGATGGAGAAAGGCGAGGTCTGTGGGGGGTGGAGGGACGGAGAGCGGGGAGGGGGAGGACAGGGAAGGGATGCCATCCCTGCCGCTAGGGGCCGCGCACCTAGGCCCGTGCTGTCCGCCTCTGCTGTCCTCTGCAGTAAGAAGGCGCCTCCTCTGGAGGGCTGCAGCCCCCCTCACCCACGCTGGGGAGAACGGGTGCGGAGAGCAGAGCTGGGATTCGACTTCAGCCTCAGACTTGTGAGCTGGGTCCAACCCACACAACCTTCTTTAGAGAATGAGATTCCAGGGCATTGGCCACGCAAAACAACTGGCCCGCAGGTGCCAAGAGCCAGTGTTAGGTCCACCCTGCCTCCCCTCTTGCCCCTTCACCTGCCTCACAGACGGGCGGGTGCTATTAGCCCTTGACTTGGAAACCACCCTGTCTCATCAGCAGCCTCCTGAGCCCTAGTCCCCCAAAGGGCAGCCCAGTGGCAATGTCTGTGGCTACCCCACCAGATAGGGACTTAGACCCCCAGAGAGCCCAGCAGGGTGCTCCTGCCATCATCACTCCTTCTGTCCCTTGTTCATTCAGTCATTCAGCAAGCATTTCAGGCCCTGTTCTGTGCCAACCCTGTGTTGGGCCTGCAGGTGCCAAGGTGAATCAGGCATGGTGCCAGCCCCAGAGAGCTCCCTGACTGGTGGGGAGACAGACAATTAGCACACAGAAATACAGGCGTACTATCACCTATATGTGCCAAACGCTGTTCAAGGCTCAAGGATACAGTGTGGAAACAGGTAAGGTCCCTCCATGCTCTCCTGCAGCTATGTCTTAGTTGGAAGAGATACACACAAAATCAGGAAAACAAAAGATTATTTCAGGTCATCATAACTTCTATGGAAAAAACAAAACAGACCGATGTGAGAGCAATAGGGGTAACTGTAGAGTAAGTGATCAACAAGGCCTCCCGGAGGAGGTGACATTCCACTGAATGGCAAAATGGATCCTGCCCCGTGAAGATCCAGCGGAAGGGTGCTCCTGGCAGAGGGAACGGCAATGCAGAGACCTCAAGGTGGGCCGGGGCCTTGTGACAGGGAAGGAGTGGGTGCCTCAGGTGAGGCTGGAGGAAGTTGGCAAGGGCCTGACCACCAGGGCTTTGTAGGCCACAGCTGGGAGTTTGGATTCTGTGTCAAGCACAATGGTGCCTGGGACTGTGAGACAAAGATAGAAGCCTGTCTTGCCGCCCAAACTGGCTTATCCCACTCAGTCCCTCCTTCTCCTCCACTCTGTGGTCGTAGGAAAGTCAATCCTATCTCCGAGTCTCACTTTCTCATCTGGGAAATGGAAACGATAAGGAATTTCTGAGGTTCATTCCAACTGTAAGATTAGTGTGTGGGCTAAAGTTTACAGGCAGCAGATGAAGAAAAGAAAAGAAAGAAAAAGAGGCCAGGCTCAGTGGCTCACACCTGTAATCCCAGCACTTTGGGAGGCCGAAGCGGGCAGATCACGGGGTCAGGAGATCGAGACCATTCTGGCTAACACGGTGAAACCCTGTCTCTACTGAAAATACAAAAAATTAGCCGGGCGTGGTGGCAGGCGCCTGTAGTCCCAGCTACTCGGGAGACTGAGGCAGGAGAATGGCGTGAACCCGGGAGGCGGAGCTTGCAGTGAGCTGAGATCGCACCACTGCACTCCAGCCTGGGTGACAGAGAGAGACTCTGTCTCAAAAAAAAAAGAAAGAAAGAAAAGGAAGGAAGGAAAGAAGGAAGGAAGGAAGGAAGGAAGGAAGGAAGGAAGGAAGGAAGGAAGGAAGGAAGGAAGAAAAGAGAGACAGAGAGAGAGATGGAGAGCACGGGCCTGGGGGTGAGACTGCCTGGGTCTGAGTCTGTTCATTCCCTTTCTAGTTATGTGAACTTGGGCAACTCAATCTCTGTGACTCAGTCTCTAAATGTGAAAAATGAAAAAGGTGGCAGTACTCACCTCATAGGGTAAGGATATGAGATGAGATTGTGCATGCACATCATACAGTATATTGTAGCTGCATGAGAAATGTTAGTTACTGTTACTGTTATTCAAACGCAATTCCCTGTTCACAAACCCCTGATGGCTTTCCAATACCCAGAATCAAGACTGAGCCCAGGCATCCCCCGACCTCCCCAGGGGAGTCCTTGTGCGCACTATCAACACACACAGCCAGTTGCCAAAGTGGGCAACTCCTTGTCTCTCAACAGCCCCCCAGCAGAGGTTCTCCTGGCTCCTCTCAGCCTCCACCCACTTTGGGCCACTTCCCTAGGCTCCTGCAGTCCCTGGGTTTCCCTTTGTCACAGCCCTGACCACCCTGTGTTGCCACACTCTGCTTATGCAACTGTCTCCCTCGTCACTCTGCGAGCTGCCGGAGGACAGGAGCCCGCTCTCCTGCATTCCTGGATTCTTGGCACAGGGCACATTTGACCAATGCTTGTTTCTGCCTTTATTGAAGGCTTTTGTACCCCTAGGAGGACTATGCCTTCCTCATCTTTGTCTTCAGAGGATAAATACAAGGATTGACACATAACAAGCGTTAGGTAAGTTATCTTTACTTCAAAAAGTTAAAAGAAAACCACGTAAGATAATAACAATAGCCAATATTTATTTTATACTTGCTGGGGGTCAGGCACCATTCTAAATGTTTACATTCTTTTCCGTTTAATCCTTACAATATCTTTATGAGGCAGGTTTTGTGTTTATCCCATTTTACAGATGAGTAAACTAAGCAGCAGAGAAGTCACACAGCTAGTAAGTGACTGAGCCAGTGTGCAAACCCAGAGGGTGGGAATTTTTCAGGGCACATAAACTGGTTAATTTCTGTGAGGGGCAAAGGGAGAAAGCTCAGTCCTTGAAACACACAAGAACACAAGACACCAAATGGACACTGAGGTCCTGGTAAAACTTCTGCTGCCCAGGTGACTTCCAGTCCTCCCCTACCCTCCCTCTCCATCCTGGACGGACTCAAGCTTACAGATCCTCCCTACCCTGGGTTTCCAAAGAAAACTCCCAAACCCAACCCCAAATGTAATGAATTCCCCATGAGACAGATGTAGGTGACATTTCACCTGCTGTCAGCATGGTGCCCTGCCACTCCCAAGTCACATGTTGGCCTCTAGAGCCATGGGAGCCCCAGCAGCCTACTCTCTGCACGCTCTACTCTTTCACTCTACCCCCCAGGAACTGGAGCTTCAGACCTTTGCCAGGCTGTGCTCTCTGCTAGGCCGTGCCCTCTGCCTAAAACACTCCTGCATGGGTTGGCTTCTGTTTACTATTTGGGCCTCACTTCAAACGCCTCCTCCTCTGGGAAGCCTTCTAGTCTCCTCCAAAGAGATCCTCCCTGCTCCTCTGGGCCCCCACGGCACTGTGTGTCCCAATCTCCCTGATCACACTGGACTGTCGTTGTTGGCTCATCCATCCAATGGGAGCTCCTCCAGTCAGAAACAGGATCATCCTGGTTCTTGCTCTGTCCCCACTGATGATGCCTCTCTGGGGCCAGGGCCAGAGGGCCTTCTGTGCTCACCTGGCCCAGCCTGCTCTGGCAGGCCTTGTGCTAGGCAAGGGACACAGATGAATAAGACTCCACCTGTTCCCTGGAGGAGCTCTGGTCTGGAGGCAGAGAGAGCCTGGGACGGACAGTGTCAGCACAGGGGGACAGGAGCCAGGGAGGGGTCTGCACAAGGGCGTCAGATTCTCCCCCACCCCAGGTACCTTAGACTGTA